CAAACTTCATTCTATTAAACCGAGCATAGGTTACTGGCCGTCTTCTTGTCATCAGTGCTGTGGTTGGGAGACCACTCTCTCCCGTCTTCGCATTGGCCACACTCGTCTTACTCACGGGTATCTCATGGAGAGGCACCCTGTTCCTCTGTGAGCAGTGTCAAGTTCCTGTATCGATTAGCCACATTCTGTTAGACTGCCCTCTCTATCAACGAGCACGCAGAATTTACCTCCAACGCCGTCTTCGTTCTACTACTCTCTCTTTACCTTCCCTTCTTGCTGATGGACCCTCCTTTAATCCTGACTCTCTTTGACTTCTTGACAACAACTGATTTACTCCACAAACTCTGATGATGATACCTTACGCACTACCCTCAGCCCTTTCTAGCCCAGTCTCTTGCTGCCCTTTACCCTTTCACCATCCACTGCTCCGCTGTTATCCGTAACCTATTACTCATCCACCTCCCTTTTGCCACCTGATGCCCTCGCTTCCTTCTTGCCCTGCAGCGCTGTATAGCCCTTGTGGCTTAGCGCTTCTTTTTGTTATAATAATAATAAATAATAATGTCATTAGATGAATTGTGATAAGCTATAGAGATTACATTAGCATCGTATTGAAGCATAATAAACTTGTCTCCCTCTCCCCTCCGCCCCGTCTGCATACACCAAGAAGTCAGTAAAGGCAAGTGTGATGTTAAATGTTCATTTATACATTTTATTAGTGCTTTATATTTATTTGTCATTGTTTTCTGTATGTAAATCTATATATTATTTAAAAAAAAAATTATATTTTTGGGTGTCTGAAATGGATTAATTGGATTTCCATTGTTTCTTATGGGGAAAATGGATTCGCCAATCGTGAATTTCACCATTCAGCAGACTCTCTGGAACGGATTAATCACGAAACTCGGGGGGGGGGGGGGGTTCCACTGTAATAGTATTTCTTACCTTAAATTGTGGGTAATGGTGTTTGTGGATCATTGTGAAGAGAGTGGATATGGATGGTGTGGCCCTACTGGGATGAGGTGGATAGTTGTTGGTTGCAGCAGAAATGGATTGTAGAGGTTCTGGTACTGAAGTCAATGGTTGTATTGGAGTGTGCATAAATTCTGTAATGGATATCTGGGCTCTTTTACCCTGCAGTATATTATACAGCTGATGGTAAGGCATCATCAGCTGGTCTAGACCCCATTTCAAAGCACTGCTTCTAGAAATAGCAAAACAAGGCACAATACAGTGACCGGAACGATACGCAAATAACCCGCACATAGAAGAGAGGAGCTTACGATTTGTCAGGTTCCTCTTCAGTGAAAAAGTCTGCTAGTTTAGCAGCAACATGGAACTGCTCGTGTAACTGCTGCAATATTAACTGCTTTTCTTCAGGTTCATTATCTTTCGTTATCTCCCTCCTTTGTATCTGTGCACCGAGCTCTGCCAACATTTCCTCTGGACTCCTGTCGTCGTCGCCGTCGTCGTCGATGTTCATTCACATACTCAAAGCCATCACCTGGTAATCTCCTTGCCAGCTGAACAATTTCCTGAACCTGACTCTCAAGCAAGGGAAAACCAGTGAAAGAATTAACTACAGAATGCCATTAATTTCCCCAGCCTGCATTTAATGTTGATTGGGGCACTTCATTCCATACACTTCTAGCATAGCTGATGGCATCTGCAATGTTAAATTTATTCCAGAAGCTTGGTACTTCCAAGTTGGAGTCACATCCAGCAAAGCTTGTGGATGAGTACAGGAATTATCAAGAATGAAGAGAGCATTGAATACAAGGTTCTTGCTGTGTAGGTAAAACTTGACTTCAGGAATAGTGATGCTTAAACCAGTCAGTATTTCCTCTGTCATCCATGCTGACTGGTTTGACCTCCAAATTACTGGTAAGGTGTTTTTATCTACACTTTTCAAAGCATGAGGGTTCTTAGAGCAGTAAATAACCTTGGGCTTACACTTGAAATCACCTCGCTCATTACCGCAAAGGAGCAAGGTGAAGCGATCCTTTGCTGCCTTGAAGCCCGGTGCACTTTTCTCTTGCTAACTGATGTAAGTTCGTGTTGGCATTTTTTCCAAAAAAACACTTGTCTCGTCAGCATTAAACACACATGGCTCATAGCCACCCTCAGAAATAATTTCCTGTAATTCAGCGGAGAAATTGCTTGCTGCTGTATGATCATCTGAAGCACGTTCACCAGCCTATGCTAAGCACACACTTTTTCAGGCCTTCGTTCCTTATCACACACTGCTTTAAACAACTGTAAGCCTTTTCCCTAATTAAGAGGAAATTAAGTGGTGCACCTTTCTTTGTCTTTTTGTCTTATTTACTTACTGTGATCTGTGTCATTCTTTTCATGAGGTGACATCTTGGGTTATTCATTACACAAGCTTGTATATTCGCCTCGTTCTTTTTGATTGTACTAACTGATGCTTCATTAAGGCCATAGGCCCTCGCTATATGCACCACACATAAGCCACTCTTAAGCTTATCTACTATCTCGATTTTCTTCGTAATTCCTAGACAAGAACGCTTAAACCTTTTCTTATCACGTGCGGGAACACTTGTATGTTTACTGGGTGCCATGATTGCTTGGCAGATTTAAGAAATGGCAATGAAAATAAGAAAATATGCATGTAAATAAACACAGCGAGCTTCCCGAGTATTGTCATTCTACACGAGTATGAACCGAACTGAAAGCTGGGAGGGTGGTGAGGAATAGCAGTGGGTCTCCCTTGTTGACTCAATGGTGTAACCCACAGACCATCCCGCCCAGCGGGCGACCGCACACTCAGAATTTTTCCCCCTCCTGCAACAGTGTTAAACTTTTACAAAGTGTTAAACAAAAATATGGCACAATTCTTTGATCATGCTAGAACCAAAACGTGCAAGAACAAAACAGTGTTAAACGGTAGTTTATTGTAAACCTCATCACCTTGCTCTTTTCTATATGTATTCATTTTTAATTTCCTTCTTTTGCATACCCTACCAAACTCATCCATCAACCTTAGCAGCTTCTCTTCAGAATCTCCCAAAAGCAGTGTCATCAGCAAAGAGTAACTGACATCTCCCACTTTGTGTTAGATTTGCAAGAGCATAACTTTGTCAGTTTTCCTTTTTTTTTTTTTTTTTTTTATAAACCTTCAGAAATTACCTGGGATAACCAAAAAAAAAATAAAGCATACAAAGCATAAGCATTACTATGGCAAGTAATACACATTTCAGCCATATTGATATCTTTCCACTTCTGCAAACATGATGATTCTGCAACATGTGTAATATCTATTCAGCTAGATGACGATCATTAGTCCATACATAGGTGTCCCTCCCATACGATTCTCGGATATCTGTTAGCTATTAGTTGATTCCTGAGTACCAGTCAATACATGCAGTGTTTACATGTGCTGCTATGTAGTATAATAATTTATTTAACTGTATTTGTGTGTGATTACCTGAATAAGCTGACTGATTGTAATGACTTGACTGACTGTAATGACTTAAGTATAATTAGTGACTACCAACCGACTGAGATTGAGAAAGGGTGATGCAAGATAAGATGCTCGACGCTGAGACGTGTACAGCTTAAAATACCGACTGGTCAGAGAGCTGGTTAAAAGTCCAAGCGGTTGTTAAACAGGTAGGTCATTGAGGAGTACCTACTGTACAATACATTGCTACTACTGTACTACCTGGAGAGTGTTCCGGGGGTCAACGCCCCCGTGGCCCGGCCTCATGAGTTACCACAGTGATGGTATAACTGGGTTACTACAGTGATGGTATAACTGGACTACCACAGTGATGGTAAACCTGGGTTACGGCAGTGATACTATGATTTTCATTAACCCTTTGAGGGTTTTGGTCGTACTAGTACGTTTTACGCGTAGGGGTTTTTGACGTACTAGTACTCATAAATTCTAGCGGCCTCAAATCTAGTGGGAGAAAGCTGGTAGGCCTTCATGTGAAAGAATGGGTCTATGTGGTCAGTGTGCACAGTCTAAAAAAAATCCTGCAGCACACAGTGCATAATGAGAAAAAAAAAACTTTGACCATTTTTTTTTTAATAAATCAGCGACTTTGCAGTGTATTTTCGTATGGTATTTATTGTTATATTCTAGTTTTCTTGGTCTCATTTTATAGAATAGAAGACATATTACAGAAATTGAGATGATTTTGACTGGTTTTACAATGAAAGGTGCCTTGAAATTGAGCTCAAAGTAGCAGAAATATTCGATTTTTACCAAACTTCAAAAGTAAACAAATCGTGCCAAGCGTGCAATACACGTCAACTGGCGAGTCTAATATTCTTTTACAAGTGCACTAATAATATTTATACCATTTTTTACACTAATGCAGTAGTCTGCATAACAGTAAATCTTATATTTTTTGTGAGAATAAAAATTCAAAGTGGAAAGCAAAAGGATATAAGAGGGCCCTTGAGACGTGACTAATGACTAGAGGAAATGTCATTTTAGTGCCAGGAATGTCTTTCTTGTTTATTCTGGACCCTATTCGGAAATTGGCATCTTTTGAAATTTGTGTGAAATTGGCAAAATTGCTAAATTCTGACCACTGTACTGGATAGTTGAATTTATAAATGGGTGGTTTCTTGCACCCATTCGATAGAAAAAATGGAGTTCTAGCGAAATATTCATGTTTTTTGTCGACTAGTACAGTGAAATTGGCCGAAAATGGGGCTCAAAGTGGGCAAAATCGCCGATGCGTAAATATCGCCGAGACCGCTAACTTTGCGAGAGCATAATTCCGTAAGTTTTCTATCAAATTTCAAACTTTTGGTGTCTTTATGATCGGGAAAAGATTCTCTATCTTTTCATAAGAGAAAATATTTTTTTTTTTTTTAAATTTGGCCGACCCTGAGAACGAGTTTCGGAGAGGGCCTGTCGACCCTCAAAGGGTTAAGAAGCTAAAGAAGCATTCTTGCTTGAATTTTTGAATACTTGATAAATGTTAATGGTAATGTCATTGCAGTTCTTTACATTTTCTCAGGTAAAGTGAAGAAAGCTGGTGACAGAGTTGTGAGGATCATAACACAGTGTGTGAAGGGTGCTAATGTGATGAAGAATGAACCTGCCACAGTGGGCAACCTTTTGCTCAAGATCAATGCTAAAATGGGAGGCACTAACAACGTGCTCGGTGCCCCCTCACGACCTTTTGTAAGTATTTTTTTTTTTTCTTAAGTATGGTAAATTTAGAAGAATAAGATTTGTTTCTATAGATTGCAGTACATATTAGACTTGCTGCCATTGTTTATCTAGCATTAAATAGGTATCAGATTGTTAATCCTTAAACTGTTCACACGCATATGTACATGCACGTGTGCAGCGCTCCGAACATATATTGACGTTTTATTTTTCATTCCTTCAAATTTGGCGCAATAGGCCTGATTCACCTAGATATGAAAGAATGGGTCTGTGCACTCAGTTTGTGCACTATGAAAAAAATCGGGGACCACTTAGTACCTTGTGGGAGCACCAGTTCAATTGAATGACAGCTAGAGCAAATATCGTGGCAAACACCAGTGATTCACTGATGACATGTCATGTATTAACACTCACATTTTAAGAGGAAAGTAAAAATAGGTGAGATAAATGCAAGAGTGGGTATGGGTGGGTGTGAGTTGGACCTGACTAGCTTGTGCTACTAGGTCAGATGTCGTGCTCCTTCTTTCAGTGGATGTGACCTGACTAGGTGGGTCACTGGTCTAATCTGGGGGGGTGACATAGACCTGCTTTGCATGGGCCAGTAGGACTGCTGCAGTGTTCCTTCTTTCTTATTTTCTTATGTATTTGGCTGGCTGGCTTTGGCTCTCTCTCTGTATTTGTCTATATCAATATCACTGTATCTGTATCTCTCTCTCTCACATCTACTCAATACAGGTATTATACATAATGTAAATTACCTAGGATAACTCAAAAATTCCAGGCCACGTGCTATACAGTGTAGATATAAGACATAAATAAACATGACACAAATAATAGCAGTGTCACTTGCTCAGCAATCAAGGAGCAGTCCATACACCCCAAACCAATAGGTTTACTAACTGCTCTCTGAGACAGAGACAAGCAGATGGAAAGACAGACACACACACACACACACACACAGGCAGAGATAGAGACAGAGATACACAGATACAGACTGACACAGATAGATGTACATATACACAGATAGATGTACATATACACAGATAGATGTACAGATACACAGATAGATGTACAGATACACAGATAGATGTACAGATACACAGATAGATGTACAGATACACAGATGTACAGACACACAGATAGATGTACAGAGGCACAAATAGATGTACAGATAGGCTGACAGACACACAGAGACATGTTTGTGTGCAAGAGTAAGATCATATACAGGCAAGGTTTCCCCCCTCTCCAGCAGTGCACATTCATCAACTGTCACTTATCTGACACTTGTCATAACACCATCCTTAAAGTTTATATTATACTCCAGGCACACACAGAAGACAGAAGGACAGATAAGCTGAACTAAACAGACAGATAAGCAGAGCTAGGTAGACAGATATACAGACAGGCAGACAGACTAGCACACACACTGACACAGACATGTTTGTGTGCAAGAGTAAAAACATGTACAGGCATGGCTCTTCCCCTCCCCCCCCAGCAGTGCACATTCATCAAATGACACTTATCTGACCCTTGTCATAACACCATTCTTCAAGGAGTATCATGTGTCTAAACCATTGCTGGGACCTATAAATACTTTGTATATGTTTCTAGACAATAGTAAATGACCAGGGCAGGTGAAAATGTTTACCTGTCAGTATGATTGTTAAAATTTGAGTACCGTTTCAGTACATAATATTAATGTCAGAGCAAAGATTGGCTTGAAATCGCAAAAACTATTATAAATTGTAATTATCAGAACATAAAAATTATATAAATTAAAATAAAAATGAGAAAAAAGAGTAAATCGGCAACACTTCTGCAAGCAGCAGGACTGGATGTTGCCGTCGGGTGAGCATCCAGAGCCAACTTTGTGGTCTTATCTTGGTAAGTATTGGTCCTATTTTTTTTTTTTCTTAGACCACACAGAAAATTGTCATCTTTAATTTAAAAACCTATTATTTTCCAAAATATTCGGAGCGCCCCGCAGGTAAACGTAAATCTGCATTTGGACAGTTTAACCCTTTCAGGGTTGGTGCCATACTAGTTCGGCTTGCATGCCATGGTTGGTGCCGTACTAATTATTTTTTTTATCACACTGGCCGATTCCCACCAAGGCAGGGTGGCCCCGAAAAAGAAACTTTCACCATCATTCACTCCATCACTGTCTTGCCAGAAGGGTGCTTTACACTACAGTTTTTAAACTGCAACATTAACACCCGTACTAGTACGCATAAATTCTAGCGGTTTCAGATTAAGCGGGAAACAGCTGGTAGGCCTAGATGTGAGAGAATGGGTCTGCGTGATCAGTGTGCGCGGTAGAAAAAAATTCTGGGACCCAGTGGCGCATTGTGGGAATGCCATTTTACACCTTACTCACCATGCCTCGCGGTAAGAAACTCCTCAGTGAATTGGGACACTTTTGTTCCCCAGTGACAGTTTTAATACAGATGGAAGTGCCAGTGAAGACGAGTTTCAAGGTTTTGATGAGGTGATTGAAATTAATGAGGTGGCAGGCGACCCTCAGCCTTCCACCTCTGGTGCTGGGCCGTCTTGTTCACGTTCATTTGTACCAGAATCCAAGAGGAAACTCCTATTTTCCCAAATCCTGGACTCAGATGTGAGCAATTGTGATGATAGTGATAGTGATTATGAACTACAAGCTCTTGAAAACAGTTCCAGTAGCGATAGTGAAGTGGAATATTCTCCAGTGAAGCGTCCGTATATACGACGGTATATGCACTCTGGTAGTGTGCCATGTGCTGTTCCAAGGAGGAGTACATCTTGGGGTACATCCCATGGCTGTACAACAGGAACAGACAGTGAAAATGAAGATGATAGTGTTGCAATTGGGATGGAAAATGTGGATGGTGGTAGTGGTGGTGCCGGCCGTGAGGCACCAGCAGTGGGCCATGCTGCCACCTACGCTGCTGCCTCGGCTGATCTACAACAAAGGCCACCATCCCCCACCCACCCACCCACCACACCAGCCTCCACAACCTCCACAACCACCTGTCAATATCCAGTACCCACCAGCAGACCGCACCTGGGATTGGCAGAAAGCTGCCAATGATGCAAGTCATTGGAATACAGCCATCTTGTACACTTGGGAGCAATGCCAGTGAACTGGAATGTTTTGAGTTATTCTTTGACGAACCCCTGATGGAAATTGGCAGGGAAAGCAATGGATACTACGAGTACACCGTGGCAAACACAACGCTTTCACCAAACTCACACCTACACCAGTGGAGACAACTGTGGCCGAGATGTATATTTTGTTTGCCACAACAATGTTTATGCCACATGTGTAAAAACAGTGTGAAATCATACTGGTCAACAGACTGCCTGATTGCAACCCCAGGTTTCAGTGATATAATAGGAGTAAATCGATTTGTGCTACTATTACGTATGCTTCACTTTTCAGATAAAACCAGGCCTGACAAACAGGTTATATAAGATTAGGAATGTGTTTGTGTATCTGAAACAGAAATTCAATGTTTATCCCTTCAGGAAGCTTGTTATTGATGAGTCTTTGATTATGTTCAAAGGAAGTTTCATTCAAGCAATACATACCAAGCAAGAGGAAACACTTTGGTATAAAGCTGTTTGTGCTTTGTGATTGTTACAGTGGTCTTGTATTGGATATACAGGTCTCCCTCAACATTCACTTTTTCAGCTTTCGCGGGCTTCACACATTTGCGAATTCCCAACCGCCAAATTCCCAACCGCCAAATTCCCAGCTGCCAAATCATATTTAAGTTTCCTGCCACCTGCGAGTCCCTACTACCCTCCCACCGACCCCTGCAACTGGCAGCCAGCCCTCCCACCACTGTGTGGCGAGTGTTTTGTTTGTTAATTATTTGCTATTAAACTACAGTATAAATAATGTAAACCCATTCATGACTGCATATTGGAATGACTATTCGGACAGGTATTGGGCGGTGACATGTGTTTACTCGTGAACACAGCAAAGAATCAAACATTTCTGCTACTGCTAATAATAATAATACATACGATATAATTGATGAAGGAAGTTGTACAAAAATACGAGGGAGTGGTTGACACATCGTTAATATGGCTTTGTTTATGCTGGAGTGAACATTAGTCTCCCCGCTCTTCCAAACATTTCACAATAATTCATTGTGTTTGGTGCTTTTAGATTAAGTGCGACTGGAGTGGTAGAGGCAGCGATTGAGGCAGCGATTGAGGCAGCTGTTGAGGCAGCTGTTGAGGCAGCGATTGAGGCAGCGATTGAGGCAGCGATTGAGGCAGTGGGTGAGGCAGCTGTTGAGGCAGCTGTTGAGGCAGTGATTGAGGCAGCTGTTGAGGCAGTGGGTGAGGCAGCTGTTGAGACAGCAATTGAGGCAGTGGGTGAGGAGGCAGTTGAGGCAACGGTTGAGGCAGTGGGTGAGGCAGCGACTGAGGCAGTGGTTGAGGCAGCTGTTGAGGCAGCGATTGAGGCAGTGGGTGAGGCAGCTGTTGAGGCAGTGGTTTAGGCAGTGGTTGAGGCAGCGATTGAGGCAGTGGGTGAGGAGGCAGTTGAGGCAACGGTTGAGGCAACGGTTGAGGCAGTGGTTGAGGCAGCGATTGAGGCAGTGGTTGAGGCAGCGATTGAGGCAGTGGGGAGGCAGTGTTGAGGCAGCTGTTGAGGCAGCGATTGAGGCAGTGGGTGAGGCAGCTGTTGAGGCAGTGGTTTAGGCAGTGGTTGAGGCAGCGATTGAGGCAGTGGTTTAGGCAGTGGGCGAGGCAGCTGTTGAGGCAGCGGTTGAGGCAGCTGTTGAGGCAGCGGGTGAGGCAGGAATTGAGGCAGTGGGCGAGGCAGCTGTTGAGGCAGCGATTGAGGCAGCGGGTGAGGCAGCAATTGAGGCAGTGGGTGAGGCAGCAATTGAGGCAGCGATTGAGGCAGCGGTTGAGGCAGCTGTTGAGGCAGCTGTTGAGGCAGTGGGTGAGGCAGCAATTGAGGCAGTGGTTGAGGCAGCGATTGAGGCAGTGGGTGAGGCAGCGATTGAGGCAGCTGTTGAGGCAGCGATTGAGGCAGCTGTTAAGGCAGTGGTTGAGGCAGCGGTTGAGGCAGTGGTATTTAATAACATACATGTTGCTAATAATAATAATACATGTTATTAATAATATGTTTATTATTATTATTATCACACTGGCCGATTCCCACCAAGGCAGGGTGGCCCGAAAAAGAAAAACTTTCACCATCATTCACTCCATCACTGTCTTGCCAGAAGGGTGCTTTACACTACAGTTTTTAAACGGCAACATTAACACCCCTCCTTCAGAGTGCAGGCACTGTACTTCCCATCTCCAGGACTCAAGTCCGGCCTGCCGGACTTATTATTATTATTACTATTATTATTATTATTATTATTATTATTATTGTTATTATTAGCAGTAGCAGAAATGTTTGATTCTTTGCTGTGTTCAAGAGTAAACACATGATGTCACCGTCCAATACGTGTCCGAATAGCCATTCCAATATGCAGTCATGAATGGGTTTACATTATTTATACTGTAGTTTAATAGCAAATAATGAACAAACAAAACACTCACCACACTGAGTGGTGGGAGGGTAGTAGGGACTCACAGTGGTTGAGGAAGTGGAGGCATTGGTGGAGTCTGTGGTATTTAATAACATACATGTTATTAAAGCATAACATGTATACAGTGGACCCCCGCATAACGATGGCATCACATAGCGATTAATCCGCATACCGCTTGCTTTAATCGCAAAAATTTTGCCTCACATACCACTTAAAAACCCGCTCACCGATTTTCGTCCGAGACGCGTCCAATGTGCGGCCTGAGCCACGCTCACATGTTCCGCCGGTGGCATTGTTTACCAGCCAGCCTCCGCGGTAACATCCAAGCATACAATCGGAATATTTCGTATTATTACAGTGTTTTCGGTGCTTTTTCTGGAAAATAAGTGACCATGGGCCCCAAGAAAGCTTCTAGTGCCAACCCTACAGCAATAAGGGGGAGAATTACAATAGAGATGAAGAAAAAGATCATTGATAAGTATGAAAGTGGAGTGCGTGTCTCCGAGCTGGCCAGGTTGTATAATAAACCCCAATCAACCATCGCTACTAATTGGTGGTACAGCTGCTGCTGCTGCTGCACTGTCAGCTGCTGCTGCTGCTGTAGCATCGTCTGCTGCTGCTGTAGCATCGTCTGCTGCTGCTGTAACATCGTCTGTTGCTGCTGTAGCATCGTCTGTTGCTGCTGTACCACCGTCTGCTGCTGCTGTAGCATCGTCTGCTGCTGCTGTAACATCGTCTGTTGCTGCTGTAGCATCGTCTGTTGCTGCTGTACCACCGTCAGCTGCTGCTGCTGCTGTAGCATCGTCTGCTGCTGCTGTAAACATCGTCTGTTGCTGCTGTAGCATCGTCTGCTGCGCTGTAGCTCGTCTGTTTCTGCTGTACACACCGTCAGCTGCTGCTGCTGCTGTAGCATCGTCTGCTGCTGCTGTAACATCGTCTGTTGCTGCTGTAGCATCGTCTGTTGCTGCTGTACCACCGTCAGCTGCTGCTGCTGCTGTAGCATCGTCTGCTGCTGCTGTAACATCGTCTGTTGCTGCTGTAGCATCGTCTGTTGCTGCTGTACACCGTCAGCTGCTGCTGCTGCTGTAGCATCGTCTGCTGCTGCTGTAACATCGTCTGTTGCTGCTGTAGCATCGTCTGCTGCTGCTGTAGCATCGTCTGTTGCTGCTGTACCACCGTCAGCTGCTGCTGCTGCTGTAGCATCGTCTTCTGCTGCTGTAGCATCGTCTGCTGTAGCATCGTCTGTTGCTGCTGTACCACCGTCAGCTGCTGCTGCTGCTGCTGCTGTAGCACCGTTGTTGGTGTGGCTTATTGAGAATACCAAGAAACAATTAACCCCAGAGGATTTGCCCCCAGGATAACCCAAAAAAGTCAGTGTCATCGAAGACTGTCTAACTTATTTCCATTGGGGTCCTTAATCTTGTCTCCCAGGATGCAACCCACACAAGTCGACTAACACCCAGGTGAACAGGGAAAAATGCCTGGAACTAGTGCTCATATTGGTGAATTTTTAAAACCAGCAAAGGTTGGTTTGAGAGATTTAAGAACCCGTAGTGGCATACACAGTGTGATAAGGCCTGTTCTGGAAGAAAATGCCAAACAGGACCTACAGTACTCAGGAGGAAAAGGCACTCCCAGACAGTGTCTCAAACAGTCATTGCTGCATCTTCAATAAAGGTAAAGTGTCATTTATTCTTCATTTTAGTTTGACTAGTACATGCACAATATATACTGTGCATGTACTACTCTACTATTGTGCATGTATCCTTCTCTTTGTGTGTGGGAAAATGTATATTTCATGTGGTAAAATTTTTTTTTTCATACTTTTGGGTGTCTTGCACGGATTAATTTGATTTCCATTATTTCTTATGGGGAAAATTCATTCGCATACCGATTATTTCGCATAACAATTACCCCTCTTGCACGGATTAAAATCGTTATGCGGGGGTCCACTGTATATTTAGTACAATTTACGACGTTTTCATGTATTTTATGATTGTTCATGGTTCAACAAGTTAAGGAAGCAGTATTGTATTATATTTCCCTACAATATATTGGGGCACCAAACATTCACGGTTTTTCAACATTCGCGAGGCTCTTGATCCCCTAACCCTCGCGAATGTTGAGGGAGACCTGTAATTGTGTGCACTGGAGGTAATACATTGCGAGATACCAGGAAGTTGCTGGGTTTCTCCGGTGATGTGGTTAGAACAATGATGGAACCATATCTTGGTAAGGGACATATATACTGATAACTGGTACACAAGCCCTTTACTCAGTGATTTCTTTTGAATGAACATGACGTGTGTGTGGCACAGTGCGTGCAAATCGTAAACATATGCCCAGGTTCAACATTGGCACTCGTAGAGGTGAGGTGCAGGCGTTTGCTGCCAATGGCATCATGACATTTCGGTGGCATGACAAACAAGATGTCACACTATTGTCATCAGTTCACCCCAATGAAATGGCAGACATTGGCAGGCAGCATAGAGAAAGGAATGAACCCATTCTAAAACCTGCAGCTGTGATTGACTACATCCTCAATATGCATTCAGTGGACAAATGTGACATGCATATTGGGTTTGCTGATTGTGATCACAAGAGTTATAAGTGGTACATAAAACTCTTTCCATGCTCAGTGCTTATAATATATATAAGATGAGGACCAGAAACAAACCACCATATGGCAAATTTTTTTTCTGTCATCAGACAAATAATAAAGTACCAAGGAACAGCACTTGCAATAGAAAACTGCCCACATAATTATCAACAACTACCTTCTATCTGAAGCATGGTGATCACTTCCTAACAAAACTGCCTGCTACTGCTTTCAAGAAAAAGGCTCGGAAGAGGTGTTAAGTCTGTGCACATACAAAGAAACGCCCACAACTATGCACACACACTTGTTTAACGTGTGAGGAGCGTAAAACACCATTGTGTGTGACACCATGTTTCAAAGATTCCACAGGCTGCAGAACTTCTAAAAACATGACCTGTGACTGTATGTGTGTATATAAAATATAGAAATAGTAAAAAACAACATTTTGTATTGTTTGTGTAAATAAGTTATGTAAACAAAATAGTGACAACAGTGTTTGTACAGTTATTGTGTAGTATAGAAAAAGAAAGAACCTACAAAATAGTGTTCATATTGGTCTCACAGGCCATAAAAGTTACTTGGAAAAAAAATTAAAAAATCATAGAAAATAGTTCCTAAAAAAGAAAATAAAGTAATACCGGGTGACCGGCAGTCGGCGATGTTACCATATGCCGGTCATTTTCTGTCAACTTCACGCCTCCATATCTCGGTAAGTACTGATGGTAAAAAATTTTTGTTTAGCCTATAAAATTTAGTCTTTTCATAAGATTTTTTTTTTTTTCCGAAGTTTTACCGACCCTGAGAACAGGTTTGAGGGAGGGCTTGCCGACCTTGTAAGGGTTAATGGACTAGATCACATCCTGGGGTCTGCAGGCAAAACCCCACTCTCACCTCTATCATTCTTTTTCCTTTTCTTGCCTAAAGCTGCTACCTTGCAGGTATCCTACCCCTTCCCCCTCCTCCCTATACATAGCTTGTGATGACACTGACTCTTGACTATACAGTGGAACCTCGTGCTC